CGGTGGAGGTGGCGGTGGGGGCGGAGGCGAAGGGGGTCGAGATACCAACGATGGCGATGGCAGTGGTGGCGGCGGTGGTGGCGGCAACAGCAATGGGGGTGGCGGTGGTGGCGGCGGTGGTGGTGGCGAGGATGGGAGAGATCGTAATGGTGGGTTTATCCGCCTTGGTGGAACTCGTACGACGGTGGCGGGAGGGTGGGAGGGCTCATCAGTAAAAACCATCACGATTTCTGTGGGTGGCTCTGCAGCTGAGGCAAGCGGCGGCGGCGGCGTGGCAGCCCCCTTCGGGGGAGTGTTCTTGACCCTGTGCGGCGTCCGAGGGGGGTGGCTCGGCGGCGGCGGCGGCGGCGGAATGGAGCCTGCAGGGATTCCAACACACTTCACATGCAAGGCGTTCCGTAGGGCCCTTCGTGCATTATGCCAGGTGCCGTATCCCATGCGTTGCATGCAAGATTCAGACACGGCGCGTGCGGCACCTTGACTACTCGCATGATGCCTAATGGGATACCTAAGGAATTCTGAACCCAAAGATCGTATAATTGTACGGACGTGGGCATTGAACGCGTGCCGTGCACCCTAAGATGGTTCATTTCCCCCCATCCCACCATACGAGTACCCAATCCGTACCACCCCAACAGCCCCCAAATCCAATACCAGACTCACTAAAGAGACGGATAAAGCCACATCACCAAGAATAGGAAGTCCGTACACCCGCATTCAGCGCCTCAGGGGCCACAAGCCCCAAAGAACCAGGTAAAGGATTAGGCGCACGTAGTCAAAGATGCAAACCCCAAGTTCCCCGAAGCTCCCCCTATCAGTCGTTTACTCCCCACCCCATCATATGTTGGCCACAAACCCACACGCCGCGGCACAGCCTAGCGCCTAACCGAAACCCACATGCCGCAGCAACGCAGGATTCCTGCAGACGCATGGTCGCGGTTGATTGGCGCCACTGGGCTCGTGGGATTCGGGCCGCGGAGGTCACTTTGAAGGTAACGCTGCTCCGCACGGATTCGGAGGGTCCAGGAGCCCGAGTGGTTTCGGAGCCGCTGGCGGAGGTCGCTGCATTAGTGCCGTTCCCTGGGCGCCGGATCCGGAGCAGGAACAGAGCCAGCAGGGACACAGCGCAGGGGCACAGCCGACACATATACATACATCATACAGAACATGACGCCCGACGTGGTCGATCTCATCAACCGCAGCAAAGGGTGGCGCACACACACACACGCGCGCATACAAGCGGAGGCCTAGCCGGGTGTCTTGCTGCTTTCGACTGCTGCAGCCCCTGCTGCTTCACTGGCCCCTCCATGGCAGTTTCATGGCTACGTCATGGCCCCACCCCCCGGTTCCCCCCGTGGTAGTGGGGCTCCCGGCTACCCCTTCCGACCCCAACCGGCTGCTGTCACAGTCACTCACATACCTGCGGTGAAGCCGCTACAGGGCGCCTGGAAAGTAATGTCATACGAATATGCCACGTTTGACGGGTCTGAGCCTCCCAGGTCCACCCGATTAGGACTGTGTGTGTGTGTGTGCGGGGAGGGGCCGTTCAGTTGAGGAGTAGGTTGCCAAGACACGAAACGGAACCCCAGATAGGAAAGGGACATGTATGATGTGTGAAACAGGGGGGTATATCTTCACCCGTGGCAGCTACCCTGCGAAATCCTGCCTTACCCGGTATTTCGGGGCACCCTCATCTAGTCACCCTAGTCAATTTCTCAGTGGATCCGCACCCACCACCAGCATCCAACGGAATCTGCCGGGTCAACAGCGGCCCAACTCCATTCCTGGTCGGCTCGCAGGTTGACTTTTCCCAGGTCACCACCGTCCATCAACTAGGGGCGCAATACCGTCCACCATCGGAAGGATATTCGACCCTGACAGGACTCGATCCGTGGATCTCCCGGGGTCAATGGTCGCGCGTTGCCAGTAGTGCCTAACCCATAAAGGGACATGTATGTGTGTAAAGGCTCCCTGATAACCCCCCCACTCAAAAGAGATCCCAAGGGAACAACGGCTAGACGGGGCAGGTCTCCTGACTCGGCAACGAACCAACAAAAGCCTCCAAAGAAGGAAAAGGCGCAGAGAGTTAGAAACCACAAGACCTCTCGCCGCCACCCTAAGACTACTGACCCCCCGCTCTGGGTTTGTCCAGGGGAGAAGCACTCAACCAAAGAAAAGTCAACGCACAAGTTCAACCAACACTGCGAGGGCCAAGGGCAGACAGGCGAAACCGCGAACGAGAAAACCCGCGGAGGGCGGCACTAGAGAAAAAGGCCCCTCCGCTATCATCTTGCCCCTCAAACGCCTCCGCTCCGCACGAGCCCTGCCTGTTTTAATGCGCTCGAACACGCTATGCCGCGCCTTAGCATATCTGACGTGTTGGAACACCGCACGCATCCCGGGGCCGCTCAGGCCGAGCACATCATCGCCCAAGGCCATGACATACACGTGCTTGGTACGGCACCGTCATCCCGCCCTCCCAACCCTCATCGCTGACCGTGACAACACCAACTTAAGAGAGATGGCGCTGTGGCTCCGGAACCTGAGTAGCTTCGTTCGTCCGTTCGTCTATGCATCAGCCAAAGAACCCAAACCTTCATCCTCCCCACCTAAGCACCCACACCAACACCCACACCAGCATTAATATCACCATCGCAGACCGGGGGGCCATTCCTTGGCCAGCTTTCCCACCGCCATCAACAATCAACCCCCTCACAGCTCCACCCCAACACCTCACCCCATCCCACACCTCTCCTCACCATTTGGGCCCCGTGTAGTACGGATTCAGGAACGTCCCTTCCGAGGCGGTCAGCAGTGCCAGCCTGGGATTTGAGAAGGACAGCTGCGGAGGAGAGGGGCGGAGGAGAGGGGCGGAGGAGAGGTGCGGAGGAGAGGTGCGGAGGAGAGGTGCGGAGGAGAGGTGCGGAGGAGAGGTGCGGAGGAGAGGAGCGGAGGGGAAGGAGCGGAGGGGAAGGAGAGGGAAACGCGGTATGGAAGGAGTTGTTCGGAAGAAAGCTAAGGGAGGAGTGGGAAAGCGGTTCGGACGGGGGATCAAACCCTGTAGGCCCTGTGGTGGCCCTGTGGCCGCTAACCCTACCGGGCCCCGAAGGCTATACATGCAGGGGCTTAGGTCTTTCAGGAAGAAGAGAAGCAGGAGGCACTTGGGGAGATGAGGGGGAGATGAGGGAGAAAGGGGAGCGGGGCATGCGTTACAGAGGGTAGCGCAGAACTAACGGTTGGAGGTGGTTGCAACATCGTACAGACTAACGTGTATTGTCATAGATGTAGCGGAAGTCCTTGTCCCGTAAAAGATACCGGCTTGCTACCTCCCTACTTGGTGATAGCACTACTGGCATCACATGGCAGGGCGGGCGGGTGGTGACAGCGGCTTGCTGGCGGGCTGACCGGTCACCTCCCGGCTGGCGGGCGGGTGGTTGCATAAGGACCAATCGCACAACGGTAGCTTCCCCTTAGAGCTAGACACGAAGAAATATGCTGTACGGGTTCAGGTGTTGCTGGTGAATCGGAATTGAAAGACGCGTGGGGATTTGGCGGCTCTGCCGGCCAACTGGAGCGGCTAATGAAATCCTATACAGTAGGGGCCCTGATGATACCTTATACTGGCAGTTCCAGATAATCAAAAAGGCGAATGAATGGAAGAGCCCCGGAAGAATGCTGTGGGGTAGTGCGGGCTTCGGCCTCTGACCACCGCTGCACTTGCAGTAAATATCCCCTTACCTGAATATGGTAGATCGCTCCAGGGCAAAAGCTTTTTATCACTGAGCCTTTTGGGTCGCGAAATATGAAAGATATTTCCCTGCAGAACAGTGGAGCACCAATTTCGGAGGAGGGTTGAGCTGCTGTGCGTTCGAAAGCTCGACCGATGGAACTGCTCCTTGTCTGAGAACTCGACAGCGGTGAAGCCTACGAGGTTCAGTCACATCGTTCGGCCAATGATCACCCGAGCTTACGGGTCGTCAATCGGAGTCTTATGATGGGGCGCATAGCCGTATGCCTCCTTCGGATGTTCTGTGCACTTGTGGCCGAAAGGGAAAATGTCACTGGGAGTATACCATATCCTTGGAAGAGCGTAGGTATTCCTAATGACAGTTGCTAGAAGTGCAAAGGCTGCGAATGCATTCATTCGTCGGGTGTACAAAGCGCTGGTAACACGGCAGAGTGTCAGTTTAGAGGCGCACACCGCCTGACACCAATAGTAGCCAGACAGCCCGACTATGAAAACGCTCGACGCACGCAAGCATAGGATTAAAAATACGGCAATTACGACGTGCACAGATAGCCCCGTCAGCCCAGCTTGCGGATCTGAAATCAAATAACGCCTTCTATTCCTGGTAATTATCGTTCTATATATGGAAATCAAGTAGTACACAAAAGTACAGCATTACTGTACTGGCTTTAGCAAAGGGAACGCTCGTCCCCATCAATGCTGGTAGCTGCAGAACTGTTATTAATCATAGTTAAAAAGCATCTCTTTGATTTAACAACAGGTATATTACAGAGGATGAAAGTTATGTTCGGATGCCACAGCAGCGAAAGGCTTAATTCGCCCTTCTGTTCAAGTAACTCGCCATTTAACGACCTAGTTGATTAAATAAGCATTTCAACAATATGAGAATAGTAATATTCATGAAACATGCAGTCTCGATGCTTGACCACGTGGGATTTGACGACTTGGAGCCCGGCTCATAAAACGTAGCCGCTTTCATCATTTGATCAACAGATAAAGTAAATTTCCGGCTCGACCGTTTTTATAGGTGGGCATAGATCGCATCTGCACACCGCAGTACTCGCTCGGTAAGCAGGCGAGCAGCCCGCATTTCCATCGATCAAGGCCACCATCAAGGCACTGCCGCCATGCCATAAATTGAGCAAAAGTAATGGCACAACAGTGGTCCTGTTGATGAAAGCCTCCCCATTCCTTCCGCTTACCAACCGTTACGAAAAGGAGGGCCATGGCGTTCCACAGCTAATAGCGCTCCATCTATTAGTGTCATGTATTTGTTCAAATCATAAATCACAGGAAACAAAAGGTGCGTCAGCCACTGGCCTTCTTAGTTATGCCAAACGATTTCAACTGCTACACAAGCGCCAGCATTTACAGTGCAAAATGTACACAAGTAATTCTACGCAAGCTCACAATCCCCTCTTTGACTTTTAGCCAGCAGCGAGCGCTGCGTCACGAGCAATCCGCGGCCAGGGCGTTCCTCTAACAACGCATTATGTCAAAAGCTCTAGCCATCTGTTATTTGTGGCATACCTTGTAGATCATCAGAGCGGCGCCAGGCATCAGCCGAGGCTTCCGTAACCTTGGAGGCCAAGCGAACCCCCTTACACCAGCTGTGTTACGTTAAGGCTTGTCACAACCAGTCATGGTGGTGTCAAAAGACACCGGATGCGATACACCAGAGAAGATGTAGCCATCCAGTGTACGACCCGCACTAATGTACGACGTCGCAAAAGGAAGGTCTTGAGAATAGATACGTGAACCCCGTTGAAGAGAAGCATTGAGAGTTATGTAACTGCTCTTGCACGTTACAAGCTGCCCCGCCATTGCTCCCGTGATTTCCCGTCATACATGTTTCGAGGTTCTCCCTGCGCCTACAGCCTTTTGGCTTCCAGTCTGCCAGCCCGTCGCCCATGGGCCCATCCGCTTGTATTCCCGCCACCGTCTCGTTGCTTACTTCATTCCATCCACCCACTCCTACAACCCCTTCCGGCCGAAGCCATGCCATTTCTATGTACTTCATTTCGGCGTCTTTGATCGAAGTCGCGTTAGGAAAATGAAAATGAGTAAGCGCGCTTGCGCCTTCTGAGGGGCCCTTTGCCGGCTAAGTGTGTATGTTGTTACAGGGTGGTATAGCTTCACCAGCGGCCCCCTTTCCCGAGGCAGTTCCCTGCTCTCCCCTGCGAGAGGGGCACCCTAATCCGTTAACCCCATCCGACTTCAATATGTATTCATCACCACCAGCATGAATCAAATCTGGCGGATCAACGGCGCCTCAACTTAGTTTCTGGTCAGCTCGCAAGTTGATATTAACACGTCCTATACCGTTCATAAGATGGGGGCCCACCTCCTACTACAACACTCGCCAAACTCACAAGGAGTCGGCAGGCGGATTTGAACCTGGACACTCCGGGAGCAGAAGTCAGGCCTTAATCTCTGCCAGCCGCCTGCCTGGCTAAGTGTGGATATGGAGCTCATCTTTCACCGATAGGTCACCCCGTAGTCACCAACTTCGGGCATGCCCAGTTGCACAAGCGTTAATAGATCATTTATCCTTGTCAGTCAGTGGGTCGAGGCATGTGTGGCTGGTGTCTGCCCCGACGGATGTTCAACAATGTGTTTAGGACGTGCTGATCCTAGCCACCGTTAGCACCATGGATTGTGGTCGCAGATTTCTGGCGGCTGCGATAAGGGCGAATGCATCCAGTGGTCGGGGTATGCATCTCCTAGAGTACTGGGTGTGCCTGAGGAGCTCTGCGGCTCTTGGTCTGCCTCCTGAAGGACGGTCAGGTATCGGTCCTAGACACCCCATCCTTCGTGTCGTTCGGGACGTCCTCTTGTGTGAAGCTCCACATGAAGCTATGTTACATACTTAGATATTGTTACATTTTTGCTTCCTCAGTAATACTGGTGCCTTGGGTTTGCATGTGTCTTAAGTTTTCAGCGGCGGCTTGCTGTTGCCCCTAGGGTTGCCTCTCGTGAGGACACATACCTTCTGTCGCTTCTTGGGAGTAGGGGCCTACAGGCTACTCCCCTCGTTGAGCGGTGGCTGCTGGGGCACCCCATTCAGCCTCTTAAGCTTCGGGATGAGCTGTATTGAGGTTCAAGGTGTGCGTTCTCCTCTCAAGGTTCCCAATGCAGTGCACGGTAGGTTGTGGCTCTACTCTGGGGGGTTATTCCTTTGGGTCTGGGGCTCGCTGTAATACCCACTACTGCTGCTTCTACCCCGAGATGTAGCCCAGGGGGCAGCGAACATTCGCCACTAACATTTTCCCGTTGCTGAAGCCCTTCTTGGGGGTTGGGTGTCCCCCGCCTAGGAAGTCCCCCTCCTCCCTGGACGATAACCTCACAATTTACCATCACGACTGCTCTAATCATTTATGGGCGCCGTCATCCATTACCAGATATTGGCAGTTCGAGGGTACGAAAGGACCACGGACAAGTCCAGGAATAATGTCTAAATTAGGAAGCAAAGAACTTCTTCTTCTTCGGGGTCAAAGCTTTCCAGTATTTAGCTTGGATGGATGAATCAATACATGAATAAGATACAGAGGATTCGACCAGTGGAAGGGAAATTAGGATTACGAAGCTGCATGGGACAAATTGCGGCTAGTGACGATCAAAAGTCATTGCAGCAGCAGGACGGCATAGTTTAGCACACTTGCATGCGTTTGCACCGTTGAGGACTTGAGGTCGAAATACGCTCAAGGCTCCGCTGCTGATATGCTGCTCGCCATCAGTGTTTTTTCCAAAGTTGGAGCCGAGGTTTTTGTAGCTTAGCGAGCGATAAGACTTGTCCTTTGGTGTGTTGCTTGTCGCAAGTGGTTGGGGGCCCCTGCGCCCCCCTAGACCCCCCGTTGAATAACCAACACAGTGCTGCCGTACTGCATCTGGGTGCAAATCCCTTCCTGACCCAGGTGTCCATCCGGTCCACGCAAAACCTCTTAGTGTCTTGTCTCAGAATATCGTTGTCTTGCTTTTACACAAAAATGCTTCGTGCAGTAATGCAACTCTCCTCAGTTCCCACACTCTTGGTTCGTAAACCCACACACTCAAACTGCAAGGACTGTCTCTCTCCTCAGCTCCTATTAGCTCCCCCCCTTGAGTACCCCGACAACGATTTCTGTTTGTGGCCAAGATGGTGAACTTGCCAGTAAGCTGTGGCGAAGGCTCCAATAGCTCATTTGCCTCGCGATTGACTGCTTCGTTAACGACGTGGACTTTGTTCAGAGGCTCTGGAGTCCCACCGTCTCCACAAAGTTTCTTAGTTGATGGCCTTCCGCCCTTGTTAACGTTTGGCTCAGCTACATTCCTGTACTTTGCAGCATTTGGGCCGTCAAGAAGCATCCTATGCTTTTCTGCGACATCCCGTTGGCCAAAATTATTACTAAAACATACACCTTTGAAAATTATTCGTAATAGATTGCCATGTTTGGCCCGTAAGTGCCGGACGGGGCGAGCGAGGATATACGGCGCCTTCGCACCATATCGCTCGGTTTCGCTTCCCGAGGGAATGTTTTTTGGGCGGGGCCCCAGCGCGAAGCGCCCAGGGGGGCCCCGACCTGTAGGATTGCCCATGTCCGTGTGCGTGTGTGTGTGCGTGTGCGTGTGCGTGTGCGTGTGCGTGTGCGTGTGCGTGCGCGTGCGCGTGGCCATGGGCGTGGGCGTGGGCGTGGGCGTGGGCGTGGGCGTGGGCGTGGGCGTGGGCGTGGGCGTGGGCGTGGGCGTGGGCGTGGGCGTGGCG